AAACTGAAATGATTGCATTCTCTTGATGCTCAGAAGTTCAAGCACACAAATCTTCCTAAGCTGTCTCCAGTATTCCCCATAAGGAGAAAAACCAATGTCTGTGGGTCCATAAAACAGGACTTCAGCAGCCATGCTATTTGGCCGACTCGAGAAAACAACGTCGTGATTTTTCATGATTTCTCTAGCCATCTCTGCTGATGAAACCACGAGAGTTGGAGACTGACCAATATGTAGAAGCATTAAGGGGCCATACTTATGAGATAAGGCAAGAAGAGAGCGATGAGGTAGTTTGCCAAGCTGATGAAGGTTGCCAATAATTGGTAACTTCAGTGGCGAGGGAGGCAGATTGAGTTTGCTACCTCTTTTGAGTTTGAGAAAAAGTGGGAGGGAGAAGAGGAGAAGAAGACCAGCCAGTACGAGACTGCCCGATGTTGTTAATAATGAAGTCATTTCCGTTTTCTTAACAATGCCAGTGAATTGAACAACACAGACAATCACTCTTAATTTATAGCAACTCTCAATCCACAGTATTTTGTCCTCCTGTAGCCTACAGAGGAATGAAATAATGGTATGATTGTGATGTAAGTAACGTGTATCATGTGCTCCAACTGCTTCTATTTTTAATATATTAACAACGCAATCAATCACTCTTATAGAAACTATGAAGCCACATGCTCGGACAACCCCATGAAAGCAAGTGGCAACGCCACTTTGACTGCTCCCTGTGGTTGGCCCATCCCCATCCCGTCCCTTCCCCCTCGCCTAGAATCACCTAAGTTCAAATAATAAAAAATTAGAAAAGCTACATGCTACTGGAATTACTCTGTTTAATGTTAACATGTCTTTACTAATGGTTTTTAAGCTGAGGAAGTTTTTAGGAAGTGCTATTGACCCAGTGGAAAACTCCCGAAGGGTCGGCGTTGCCTCATTGTCCCTAAAGGCCAAAGCAGGATCTGGTCAGGGTTAAATGACTTCCTCAATGAACAGAAGACCATGGCTAGTGGAGCCCTATGTTTAGAACACCAAATTAGAAAATTGGTTCAGGACTACCACTGAACCTAACATAGGCAGCAGCTTGGTATTTTTATAATAATAATAACAATAGATATAATAATAATAATAATAATAATAATAATCTTGAATTGGATTTAGTGGATTTGCTGTTGAATTAGATATCTAATAACCTACAAAAAAGAGTAAAATAATAACATAATCTTAATTGCTCTAATATGACCCTTTTTCACATATAAATATTTGCTAAAGGTTGCCAATTATTTGTTAAACCAAAAATTTTGTCAAATAAAGACCGGGAAAAGAATAGCATGGTTTGGTCCAGGAACATGAAACTTAGGTTAGAAACATTCATTTTTTGTGAGTAACTATTTGAACATCATAGATTTTTTTTTTCTCTCAATTAATATATAAAAATAATTTTAATACGCTAAAAAAAAAATAAAGACAGGAAAAAAAAGGGGACAGGGAAAAGAAAGAAACACCAACAGTGATAAAAACAAAAACCACAGTTTCTGGCAGGGTATAAAAAGTAGTGATAGAATAATATAAAAAATAATTCAGCTACATTTAATGTTTTTCTTCAATGCGTTTCTACAATGTGATAAAGATAAGTTTATATTGTACCATAAAAGAAAAAAGATAAGTTTATATGGCTAACATGTCACTTTCAATTATTTATAAATAATTCAAAATAATTATATTAATTATTTTTATTTAAATTAAAATAATATATAAATTAATATATATTTACTTATTTAATATTATTTAATGTTATATACTTGTGTGCACCGGAAAAAAAAATTATATATATATGATGCGACAAGAGTCACATGGGTCCGTCCATGTCACTCGACATGAAAATATTTAAAAAAAATAATGTAATCCCTTTTTTTTTTTCTCTTTTTTTTGCCTAAGAAAACAATATGGTTGAATCATTTCTGAAACAATACCACGGCACGGTACTGTTTGAATTTTTTACTTTACTTATCTTAACCACTAATAGATTTGGTTGTTATAAAAAAGAATAGCAAGAGGATTATCCGAGGGGACATCTAAACTACCCCATAATTGATGAACACCTAAAAAAATATGATAAGAAATAAAGAAATTTAAAAGTACACAAGGTTTGCTTTTGATTATGTACGTGTTGCAGCACTTCAGCAAGTAAATCAGTAAATTTACCTTGTATTCAGGAACGCGAACATGATGTGAAGAGATAAGAAGAGTTTTTTGAGACTTCAAGTTGGCAAGTTTAAGATTACACGATAAGAAAGATAAATATAAGTAAGCACTTGTGGATGTAAAAAATTCAATAAAAGATGCATGGTTATCATATTGAAATACATTGGAGTTTTAAAGATTGTGCTAATACCCAGGCAACTAAGTAAATATAGACTTAATTAGCTCTCAGACTAAAATAAAATCACCAACCAAATAAATATAAGAAGAAAATTTAGCTTCACCAATGACCACACACATGCTTTTTATTATCAATATGCAATTACTGATAATTGTTTCTACATGAAAAATAGAGTTAAGATTGGTTCAAACGTTTCAAACCCCTAAAGAAACCATTCAAATGAATCCACAAGTTCTAACCCATAATAAGTTTGTGAATTGAGGAAAATAATCCACCACAAATATAAGATATACTTGCAATGCAGATATTGGTTACAATAGTTAAGCCAGCTGAAGTACACAACTACAAGAAATGAATGCATTTGACTATTGTAACAAAAAGTTTCAAGAATCCTTGTTATAGAGGCGATAAATGCAAAGTGTGTCACAGCAAAGTATGTTACCGATTGTCTCCTTTATCATGAGTTGCAGGTCGTTGAAACACTTCAGCTCCATCATAGTTACCTTCATGATACTTCTTATTACTTATAAGATCAATTAAGAAAAATTTATTCAAACTAATGTAAAACTCAATAAAGAAATCTTGAGAAACATGTGAAAGACAAAGACAATGATATAAACTAAGGTAAAGATGATGTTTAGATTTTTTTCAGTGATTTTCCATGCATTTTTCATTAATTTCTAGTATATTTTTTATACAAAACAATACCCACTATAGTATGATGTTCACCTAATATAATTAAATAATAATATAAGCCATATAAAGAAAGAGCATGCTACTGGATATAATTAAAGCTAGCCTAAATTTTTAGGTAAATCCTTAAAAGATCAAAGATACATAAAGATTATATTGAAAAATCAAAAAAAAAAAAAAAATTCTTCGCAACATAATTGAAATTGAATTGGATATAAACAGTGTACGTGAACAGTACCGATTCACTGTTTCATCAACACTCCTCCTTAAGAGGTTTCTTTGTTAACTTGAGCATAAACCTTAAAGTTTCAAATCTGGTACCGTCTGTCTCCGCTGCCCCTCCTCCTCCTCCCCATTACAACTCTAGCCGGCCGAACATCGGGGCCAGTGGATTCTGGCCCCCGCCCAATACTCTCACGGGCCTGTGTGGGACACTGTGAAAAGAGACCTGTCGAGGATTATCAGCAATTTGAAGCTTGTAGTGTTCCCCAACCCGTCCAGAGAGGATCCTGGAAAGGCGTTGAGGGACTGGGATGTTTGGGATCCATTTTTCTTTATTGTGCTCTTGGG